AGCCATAGATATGGTCTTCATGCCCCCTCCCCAACTGTAAGAAAGATTTCGAGAAATTAGGACAAGATTTTACAACACCTATTGGAGTAGGATGGTGGACAACATGAACGTCCTAAATCAAAAGTCAGGGAAGGCATATTGGATTGAACCCGCCTTTACTGAAAAAAGAGCGTACAAGAGGCTCTGCAAGCCGTAGCAGCAAGTCTTCTCTTCAGGTAGGTGTTAGTCCGTGTCCGCTGTTGAGATTTTTAGCTCTCAATCCTGGATGCGCCTGTAGCCAATCGGCATACGAGGCAACATCGAACGGTTTCGAGTTCTCGCGAAACGCATGCCAAGTCTCGCCTGGTTCTAGAAGCTAATGGGCAAGGAGTGTGAGGTGGACAATAAGGACAGCGGTGATCTCGGGAACGAAGTTAGGAAAATCAGGTTAAAATTCTAGTGCCTGTAACAGTTGACTCAGGGGGCGAAATAATTATACGATGGTGCGCGTTAAAGATGGGATGCACGCTGAACAAGACAGCCGATGTGAATGTGCAGTGGTGTGCGAGCCTCTGTTCCGGATTTGTAAACTTTGGACTGACCGTTGGTACGTGAAACACGGTGGCCGTCTACCAGTCCACTTCAGCCGAAGTAAACAACATTCTCATACATATAGACAGTTACCATATGGTAACTGCCACCGATGGATTTAGTGGAAAATGTTACTGAAGTCAACGGCATACAGTTATTGGTGGAATGACTTCATTAAAATGTAGAACAAAAAACCCTGTACATATCTCCCTTAATTTCACATGTCCGTTGGCGGTCGTGAAGTAGGGCGCTCAATGTGATTAGCAGGTCGTTTAGCAACCTGTTGAACATCCCGATTAAGCTTTTGACCAAGAATTGTTTCAAGAGTCTGCAGACGTGTTGAGAACTCTCCGAACATTTTCATAACCCACAGCATTCCTCCACCGATGATGTCAAGTCTTCTGTGGAGTTCATCGATAGATTCCCTCTGGGGGTCAACTGTCAATTTCTGTTCAGCTACTGGAAGTATCATAA